TTGATATCCTTAGCAAGTGAACTCTACGGCCAACTTTGTAACGTGTTTTTGTGTCTTTTTTGTATATAGGCATAGAAAAGGCATACCGTTCCTATCTAATCCTATTGGAAATCTCCAAAACTGTTGTCATTATTGTGCTTGCATAATATATTTCAAATCAATAGTAAAATCTGACAATGATAACAAATTTAGCATATTTTAAACACTCCAAAGAGAAAGGAAAAATTGAAATCGCATCATATGACCCCTTTAAGACAAATCATGCAAACTAAATTCAGGCGGTTCCAGCTAATGAAAAAAAAAAGAAAGAAAAGAAAACAAAAACACCAAATCATATCAAACAAACAAACAAAACAAACCAAAACAAAACCATATCAAACAAACAAACAAAAAGACACACACACACACAAAACTAAACAAATCCCCAAGCAAAACAATCAAACAAAAGAAAACAAAAAACAAAACCCACAGCAAAAGGTGATGCATATATTAAAAATGTGACCAGCTTTTTATTAACTGGAAAGCTGGACTTGCATTTATATAGTTTCCTTTACCTCTATATATGGTTTCACAATGCAACATGCAAATTATAGGTGCACATCTAGAAACAAACATATTCACAACATTCACAGATCTCAGTACTCACCCTCCGAGGCCTTGGAACTGCTAGGCTGCTCAGATTTATCCCCTGATCCACCTGGATTACTTTTACCGCTGAGTCAGGCGGAAAAAGAGTCGAGAAATAATCTGTTATCTCATCGATCACAGAATTTGGGCGCGACAGGTTGAATCATGACATTGATATGCAGTTATAGGAAAAACGGCCTGTTAGAAAAACAAGATGAAATGCTGGTACTTACGATATAACTGTGTTGGTTGACACTATGTATTCTACTTCTTTGGTCCAAGGATTTATAAAACTAAACCACTGACTTTGTAAGGTTACAAAAGAACCATATTTCGTTTTAAACTTATAGCAGTTTGTCTCAATCTTCTCTTTACTCCTCAGCACTGTGAAAAGAGGCGACCAAAATGACATATTAAAGGAAGTGCACCCAAAAATAAAATTGTCATTTACTCATAAAACTAGTCACTCCAATCCCATATTATGTTTTATATTTGACAGAATACAAAATTGTGGCTGAACGTACTGATGACTTATTTGCATATGATAAAAGTAAATGTGGATCCAGGCTGTTAAGCTCCAAATGACCAAAAGTACAATAAAAGCAGTCAATATGACTTTTGTGCTATATTTTAAGAGCTTGACAGACCTTTGTCAGATGGAAGAGTAACACTTTTTCTTCTTATCTTTTTTCCACAGAAGAAACTTATAAAGCATGGGAATGTGTAAACAAAGATAAACAAACAAAGGTAATAAATGCCACATTTAGTTGTATATGCATGTAATCCAGTATTACACTCTGAGGCACTGCCCTGGTGTATCTGCCATTGAAAGCTCTTCTAATGTTCTTTAGAAGTAAGACTAATGATTAATGATGGATGATGAGGATTTGGCTACTCGTGTCCTTCTTTGTACAAATGTCTTAGGCAATCTGCCCAGTTTCTTGGAAAATACTTTCAGGAAAACCTGTTTAGAGCTCCAGTGTTCTTAATGGTAAGAATCTGGATGCACTGTACCTTTTCGGTGTCTATCTGCCAAATGAGGCAGGTCGTCCAGATGGAAGTATTCATAGCAGGATGTGCCTAGCAGCTCCTGGGGTAAATAACCCAGAATGGTGGTGGCTCTGTGTGTGCAATATAAATAGAATGCAGTTTTTAAAATCACATTTTTCACTGTGAAACTTAAAAGGAGAAGCAAGTAACTTTTTAGAGTCAACTCCCAGAGAAAGTGCCACAGTGTTTACACTATCAAAACATTACTCTTTTTATTTGAGCACCTAGGCTATCCTGACATGACAACATTGGCTAAACCAATGCTGAGAATTTGAGGTAAATCTGCATGCCTGACCAACCGCAGATGTAAAGAGTGTTGACAAAAAAAAAAAAAAAACTTTTTAAAGCAGTCATTATATTTGGTACATCATAAATTACACATGGATTATTATAGGATAATTATTATTATAGAAAATTAGCATTTTTTTATAATTAGAATTTTATGTAACTCATTTTATATAGTTTACTTAAAAATACTGTTAGTTACTCCCCAAAATTAAATATTATCTCAATAACAAATAACCAAATGCAACTGTCTCCCTTTAACAATTGGTAAACTAATGCAAGTTCTGGAAAGAAAATGTTATAATTATATATAAGAATACATTTTTTCATTTTTCTAAAATATTGTATATAATAATTACTTTTATTAAAAGGGGTGCACATAAGTGGTGCACAGGTGCGCATGCACGACCAAAAAATAAATAAATGTGCAAGTAAGGAAGGAAATGTGCAAGTAAATGTGTAAATTCATTCAGACTGCTCATTTGCGTACCTACAAAATAAAAGCTAGCTGATTTTAGGTTTGAAAATGAAAATTCATAAAAAATAGACAAGTAAAAAAAAAAGTTAACATTAGCATTGTATTTTTAAGTGTACTATAAAATAATTGTATTTTTATTTAATACTCACTTTTTATGTTTAAGATAATAATATCATCACACTTTATTATTTTGTCTATTATTTTATTAAAAAAAAAACTAAATTAATAATGTGCAATATTATTTGTTTTTATTTAATTTATTTTTTTGTAGTTATATTCAATGGGTCACTCTCCAGGTACACTCATGAGAACCAGACTTTATGAAAAAATTATGTGCACCCGTTTATTAATTTAGATTTGATACCGTTATTTTTATATAATTTATATAGACTACTAAATAAACCATTTTAAGTTAATTACTCCCCAACAGACAGTTAATACTGACAAAGAGTTAACTATTATTTGAATAACGAATACCTAAAAGTTGTCTCCTCTTAACAAGTGGGAAACTAAGTCCAAGTTTTGAAAAGAAAACGCATGCCGCCCTCTAGTGAGAATGAAGTCCCCATGTACAGTCAACATACCAGGCAAGGGAAAGTTATGTAGGTAATTACATACTGTGGAGCTAGTTTGCACAGATGACTATGATTATGCACACAAACAATTGCCAGTCACAAAAATTCACATTTATTTATTCCCAAAACAAGAGTCAAATTACCGTTGATCCACAAAGGTGAATTTGCCATCCATGGCATAGCGGGTGACAAATTCAGTGGGCTTGACCTTGATCTCTCCGTTGGCCTGCGGGAGGGTGTGGGGGTGCACGCGGCCCACTGCTACCAGGCAGCTGAAGTGGGAGCTCTCTTTATCCGTCTCGGCCTCCCCCTCCGTGCCTAGCTGGCGCGTGGGCCAGGTGCGCATGTAGCCCGTGCAGTGCACAGTGCAGTACCGCTGTGACTCTGTTGGGGCAGTCAATCAAAACGGAGTCAATTTACAGGTGAGCTGTGAGCCAAATGTTCCACCATATGTTGTTAAAGAGGAACACAAAGGTGCACGTTTCATTCCCTTTTGGATTTGCTTGATTTAATCTAAAAACGTGCCATGACAAACATCTGACAAATGTTTTTTTTTCCAGTGTTGTGACAAATGTGATATGTAGGAAAGCTTAAATATAAGCTTTTGCTCAACATGTTCAACATACTGTCATTTTGAAAAACTAGCTTATAATGCATGTTCAGCGCATGAAAATAAATGCATAAAAACTAATGCATGGCTTTACAGGGTTGCCTGAACAACTTAACTGCTCTGGGCAGCTTGGAATAGGCCATGCTCACCAAGAAAAGAAACGTCAATGCTGTTCAAGTCCAGACAGCACAGCAAAACACTTTCCAAAGTGAAGTCACTATCCAACAACTTTGTAGGAACATAGCTGTTGGAATGAAATCCCACAAGCTGTGCTTACACCACTGCATGTGGCGAGAAGAAAAAGAAAAAAAAAGAGCTGACGTGTAATGGAGTAAATATGCAGACCACGTCATCAACACGTCACAAATGACATCTTGGACCAGCAAGAAGAGAGCCATTGCCAGTCTGAAGCCAAGAATATAGAACCTTTATTTAACTTCTATTTTCCTCCTCCTCTTCTTCTTTTTTATTTACAGAAAAATCATAACAGACAGTGGATTTCTGCTCTTTTGATTCACTTGTCATGTCATCATTAAAATTGGAAAACCATCTTTAACAACTTGATTGTAAAAACAGGATGAGCTCCTGATGTATCCTGACTGAAATGCTACTGACCTTTCTTTTTTGAAGCCCCAGCCTGGAAGTCCTTCTCTTCTTTGACGGTAACTTTGTTGTACTTCATTCGGCAGAAGAATGAGCGCCGGGCTCCAGAGCAAAGCCGAGCCGCTCCGACGGGGAGCTCAGCCTGCACCTGCAATCCCGCTGCACATAAACACCAGTCACATTGGTTGAAAGAATGATTTTCCCCAAAACACATATTTTGTTATTTACTCACCCTCATGTTGTACCAAATTTTTTTTACCAAAAGCAATCCTACAGCATCGAAAAACTTCAAATACAGCACATGAGTCATATGGACTACTTTTGCTGTGCTTTATGCCAGGAAACAGGTTTGAAACATGTGGGAGAGTAAATAATCAACTAAGAATGAATAATGAAAAAAAGACTGGGGTTGGTAAAGATTCTATTTTAAAGAAATTAATACTTGTAGTGGTCAAATGTGACAGTTAAGATATTTATAATATTACGAAAGATTTAAGTGCTGTTCTTTTGAACATTCTATTAATCAAAAATGGTGTTCACAGAAATATTAAGCAGAAGCACTGTTGTCAACATTGTTAATAATAATAAATGTTATTTGAACACCAAATCAGCATTAGAATTATTTCCGAAGGATCATGTGACACTGACGACTGGAGTAATGGCTGCGCAAAATTTGACTTTGCCACCACAGGAATAAATTACATTTTAAAATATATTAAAATCACTCACAGAAATCACTCATTTTAAATGGTAATAATATTATAGGAATATTACTGTTTTTACTGTATTTTTGATCAAATAAATGCATCCTTGTTGGTCATAAGAGAATTCTTACTAACCCCAAACATTTGAATGATGGTGTATAGTATACTGTATATTTATTGAGCAGACTGAGTACAATGTGCATGCAACAGACATAAAACTGTATAAGCATTTCAGAAAAGCATTCAGGAAACACACACACACAAACTTAACACAACAGTCTATTACGGCCAAAGTATGTTTACTTTTGGCGTCTATGAGGCGCTCCCGTGGGTAGAGTTCAGAGGCAGACAGCTGTTCCTTCACTTTACCAATGTCCTTAGGATGAACATAATCAAACAGGCTCTGTCCAATTAACTCCGTCTGGGGAGAAAAACACTCAAATGAGCCATGATTTAACTAATACATTTTGCCAACAGGTCAGATCATAAACCTAATTGTTTATCACCAGGTAGACAAACGCCGCTTTTAAAACAGCCCTTAAAATACATGAACAGTTAAATGTTTAGACATACGAGACTGATTATGTTTCTTATGATCTCAAAAAGCGTACTATTGACTGCAAATATCATTCTTAAAGGATTGACATTAGTTTTATATCCAAAATCAAAGAACAGTTCAATTTTGGAAAATAATATGCTTAAAATCAAGAATTCCTGAAAAATGCTTCCAAATTTTATATATATATATAGATATAGATAGATAGATAGATAGAGAGAGTTACTATACAAGTAGGACACTTGCTTTTTAAGCCGTGATGACTTTACTATGATTCTATGATATGGAAAATGGCAAAAAATAAAGGAGTATATGTAACTAATCTTTTGTCTGGTAGTGGTAGTGTACATCTGTTCATAATTACAGCACTTATTATAAAAAAAATGTGTTATATATACATATATAAATATATATATATATATATATTGTTGAACTGTCCTACCCGACTGTAATTCAGCATTTTTGAAACCGATTCTGAGACAAAGACTATCTTCCCACGGTCACAGCCAACCACAAAGAGAAATCCATCCGCAGCCTGGACAACAGATAGAGATAGAAAGAGATCATTTAGGGTTGATGTTGTAATTTCACAATCGCAAACAGTCAAAATGCCCCGTTTAAACAAAAGCTATTTTCGGAGCCTTTTCCACCCACATAATCAATAATTTGCAGTGATAGTTCTTCTGCTGTTACAAATAGCTTTAAGACATGGTTCTATAAATTGTAGGATTTACCCTTAGGACAAGGTGTTTGAGCTCATCGTCTGGGAGGAATGCAGGCTTGTAATTGGCTTCTGCAAACGAGCTGGTTGCTCCTGAAAAACAGGCACTCCATTACCCCACATACATTCAAGAACATTCATCACTGTTTGCTTTGCTTTAATTAGGTATTCATGAAGGAAAATAAATTTTTCAAGCTCAATATTAGTCTTTGTGTTTGCTAGGCTACACAAAAAGCAAATCTAGGTACCTTTGAGTGATTTGAGGTGCTGGACAGCCATTCGTAACACAGTGAGTTTGTCAAGCTTGCGGGACATGGGGTTACAGGTGGGAATTATCGCTGCCAACTCGTCAATCAGGTTATTCATCTTATCTCGCCGTCGTTTCTCGATCTGACTGTGAGGTTCTCTACAAGATGACATTTATGTTGTAAGTACCACTGAACTGCACTAAGCTGAAATATAACGTCACTTAGTGTTTTTTTTTTAGTGTTTGAATTTCAATGACAGTGGAAACTTCAAATTTAACAACTAAATAATAATAATAATAACTTTAAAAAAGTAGATAAATAAATAAATAAATAATAAAATAAAATTTTTAGTAATAAGTACCTGACACACTTAATTTTTAAGTGCTGGTCGTCTCCTTCCGATCTAAGAAAACATAATAATAAAAGACATACAACTGTTAAAAGTAATGATTAAAATCGTAGATCAAGGTGAGCCATATTGAGTTTCGTAATAGGCTTAGTACCTTCCTTGATCGTCCTCCATATCCTCCTCTAGATTTGATGCAGATTTTGTTTCCCTGGAAACAAAGTGGTGAGATGATTAAAGTGACTCATGAAATGCTGCCGTGATTCTAAGAGGATGTTAAACACAGACCACGCACATCCTTTCCCAATGCATCTCGACTCATTCAGAAAAGCAGGACAGGGGCTAACAGGCCAAACAAGAGGATATTAGTCATCAGCTATAAAATCCAAACATCGAATATTAATATGTTACATTCTCACACCCACGCACATACTTTTTCAAGAAACTAGGGCTGAGTGGTATGAGGATATTTAACATATATAGACATTTATGTGGGATGGACTTTACTTTAATCACAAAGAAACATGGAGTAATGCAAAAAACAAAGCGGCAAAGATATATACGGCAGTACAACAACTATGTGACTCATCTCATCAATCCAAATTAAACCTATGCAGTCAATGTGACTTATCCAGGCAGCATTAAAAGGCAGTACAAATAGTACAGAACTACTATTGTTTCATGTTTTTGGTGGTTTGTGTCCATCAAGCTACAAATGAAAAGATGAAAGGAGATCTGAGATAGTTAAAAATACAAAAAAAAAGTATACTACTATTCAAAAGCCACATTACAGTAAAAACAGTAATTGTGAAATATTACAATTTAAAATGGCTGTTTTCTCTTTTAATATATTTTAAAATATATTTTATTCCTGTGATGGCAAAGCTGAATTTTCAGCAGCCCTTACTCCAGTCTTCAGTTTCACATGATCCTTCAGAAACATTCTAATATGCTGATTTGGTGCTCAAGAATCATTTCTTATTATGGTTAATATAATTTTGTAAAAGCCATGATACATTTTTCCAGGATTCTTTGATGAAGTTCAAAAGAACAGTATTCATCTGAATTCTTTTGTAACATTATACATGTCCTTAGTATCAGTTTTTAATAATTTAACGCATCCTTGTCTTTGGCGAATAACAGTATGAATTTAACACAAATAAAAAAAACACTTTTGAACAAATGTACAATATGTAAACAACATTTAAATCATTTAAGTAATTACTTTTTTATAATTTTTATTATTTAAGATAAGATTTAAGCATTTAAATAACTAGATTATTTAAAAATAGGCATTGCCACACAAACAATTCTTCAAACCATTTAAATAAACCATTTCCAATCTTTAATTTCTTATTACGGCAAAAAAACAATAACACAGTATTGTAACTGTCATATTTTGTCAAACCGCCAGCCACTACTAGTGACGAATGTAAATATATGTCAACAACGCTGTTTGCACTGCGCTCTTCCGTTACTTGATCTTTTTATTTGGTGCGTCAATCTGTTACTTAGTATAGGAAATTATGATCCACACTCACGAGATGTCTTCTATTTTTTCGTTTTATTTTACATTCATTACTAATGGGGAAAAGGCACAAACGTTTCGGCTCCTGGAGTCCATTAGTAATGAATGTAAAATAAAACGAAAAAAGAATGTAAATATACTCACGGGTTGTCCATGCTGCCTTTTCGTTTCCTGGGCAGCTCCATGCCTGAGGCCATGCTGGTGGCTGAGGTGGGGGTCATCAAACCAGACAGAGAGACAGAGAGGCCTTGGGGTTCTTCCTCTAATGCGTCTCCTGCCAATGGTGGGAGGGATTTATTATAGTAAACTTACAAAAAGAAACATGCCAAAACACAACTGCGTGCTTCATATTGGAACCAGGGCACCGTGGAACAGATTTCATAACAAACATCTAAAGAATCAGACCATCTGTAATCGGCGGATTTTTGTGTGAATTCAGAGTGATACTTTTTGTCTGTGTGGTGATAATAAACAGGACATTTTTTTTTATCTGGTGAAAGTCGTCGTAAAAGAGTAATCTAAAAACCCAGAAACCCAGTTTACAGCTGGTTCTTAGAAAGAAAAGTTCACAGAGAACTACTTGCCGCATTGAGGCTGGGCGACCATGAGCACAATACAGACAACCTACTTCACCTCCACAAAAACGTGCATCACTCTTTCCTTTATGGACATCTATACGCCCATTCAGACAAGAAGGAATATGCGAGTTCATTTTAATACACGGTCTTTGACTTCCTGTACAAACAAAGCTTTAAAACGAGAAGCGTTTTATAGCAGTGTATCTATTTCTATTTACATAATATCCAGTCTCCATTATTGAGGACAGAACAGCACTGTCAAACATTAAGATCATGCATCTGTTGAGTTAAAACAGCTTTAGCTTCTGGTTTTTGGCTAAAATCACTGCAGCATTTAGTCATCGTTGCAAATGAAAGCAAAGGACTTTGATGGAAGACATATTGTCAATTCAATTTCAGTTTTGGTTTCTATTTATCAAAGTAAAATAAAATAGCCCATGTGTGATTATTAAAATGAATATAAAATAATATTTTTAATAATAATAATAATAATAATTATTATTATTGAAATAATATCAACAATTAGCCCATGCTGAAGTAAAGCTACAGTGTGAATGCAAATAAATAAATAAATCTCTTCACATATTATTATTATTATTATTACTGAAATAAGAACAAATAGACCATGCTGAAGTAAAGCCACAATGTGAATGCAAATAAATAAATTTCTTCACATAGTATTATTATTATTATTATTATTATTACAACATTGGAAAAATAAAAATTATTTCCATGAAATGAAAAATGCTATTATTGATTAAATTAGTATTACTCTTATTATTGAAATAACCCCTAGTCCATGCCAAAGTAAAGCTACAATGTGAATACATTGTGAATGCAAAAAAAATAAAATAAAAATAATAATAATAATAATAATTAAGAAAATAAAACTCCACACAATATTACTACATTTATTATTATTTCAACAATAACAACTGAAAAAAAAAAAAAATGAAGAAGTTCGTTATTATTATTATTATTCAGAGGTGGGACCAAGTCATTGTTTTGCAAGTCACAAGTAAGTCTCGAGTCTTTGCATTCAAGTCTCGAGTCAAGTCCCGAGTCAAGAC